AGTCTCTTCAAAAGAAAGTTGGTCAGAAAAGGGATATGCGTGTGAATTTTGTTCTGTTTCAACGTTCTTCATAAAAATTCTGAATACTTTTTTTTTATTTCTAATGATTCTGATAAAAAAGACTCTTTCTGGTTGTACAAAAAAAAAGGTCTCTTTCTGACGACATTACATTGTACACCGTTTTCAACATCCGACAGTAAACATCCTGCCGTTTGAGAGAACGATTAATGATTCCTCTTAAAAAGTCCAATATTTCCTTTCCGAGATTACGTTTTTTTATAATTCGTATGGTCTTTCCAAATTTATAATCCACTATCTACCAAACTACGCTAAAACGAACGACACAAAGCATCCTTTGATTTGATCCTTGCCATTAGTTAAATGGGACATCAACCGACTCACCATCTTAATTTAAACAATAGTAAAAGCTAATTTTGATTTATGTAATAAGAAAAAACAAATTCTGCATTTATTAGTGTTTATAATCATGTTTTGAAACTCTTCTATGCCTTTTAGATTTTTTTTTTATATTATGAAAATATTAAATGTACTGGTCAATTGTTAAATTAACAATAATTCGGTGGCAAATCAACATAGTGTGGCGAAATACTAGTCCAGGTTAGTGACAGTCACTGATTCGTTATCAATTACTCAGTGGGGAAATAAAATAGAAAAAAGAAATTTATATAAAGCTTTTTTCTTTTTAAATTAATAAAGGGATAACAAATGGAGCACGTACAGTCCAAAATCCGATCAAGTGGAAACAGCTAAGAACTTTCTCCCAACTTTTTTTGTGTGTGATTCTGTACTGAAAAATGCAGAACGGAGGCGAGTTCACGTGCCACCGGTAGCTAACCGCCGTTTTAAGTAGACTCAGGCCAGAAGAAGAATCCGAAGACACCATGGGGTGTGCAGCGTCGAAGCTCGATAATGAGGACACCGTTCGGCGGTGCAAGGATCGCCGCCGTCTGATGACGGAATCTGTTCGCGCGCGGCATCAACTTGCTGCCGCTCACGCCGATTACTGCAGATCGCTTCGTCTTACTGGATCTGCTCTCTCATCTTTCGCCGCCGGTGAGCCTCTCGCTGTATCGGACCAGACTCCGGCCGTTTTTCTCCACACTCCTCCGGCGACTGAACGCTCGTCCGCCAATTTTGAACCTCCACGTGTCCCGTCGTCACCAGCTCCTTCTTCCGTCTACACTCCGCCGCCGGCTCCTCCCTCTCGGTCTGCTTCCGTTGCCAGCTCCAAGCTGCCTCCCATCCTTTCCGCACCCTCTAATCGGCGCCGGAAACAGCAACCTAAGATGCCTCATATTCTCTCAAGCCCTTCGTCTTCTCCTAAAAGCGAGAGATCCAATTTCATGCCGAATTTCTACCCTACTGCTTACCAGAACTCCACCTACTCCGCCACTCCTTCCCAAGCTTCTTCCGTCTGGAACTGGGAGAATTTCTACCCTCCTTCCCCTCCCGACTCCGAATTCTTCAACAGGAAATCTCAAGAGAGGCAACAAAACTTACACAACCGCTTTGGCGATCCGGCCGACGGCGATGATACCGAAACAGATAGATCGGAGCATGATTTTTTCCATTCGAGGAAGCAGAAGCAGTTCAAGTCCATGAACAGTGCGGTGGAGGAGGGTGAGGACGAGGAGACAGAGAGGGAGGAAGTGCAGTGTAGTGAATGGGAGGACCACGATCATTACAGCACGACGAGCTCATCCGACGCCGCGGAGGAGGAGGAGGATGATGATGAAGAGGGTTTAGAGTCAGTCTCCGAGATTGGGGCGCGTTCCGACTTCGGGTCTTCCGTGAGGACTAGTTCAATGAGGCGGCATCATCACCAGCAGCCCGCGCCGATGCCTCAAGAGTATGGCGGCGTTGCACATGAGAAGTACGGGAAAGCAGATGACGCAACGACGTCTTCCGGCAGCTACAGAGGCGGAGGAGAGATCGCTGACATGAAGATGGTGGTGAGGCACAGAGACTTGAAGGAGATTGTTGATGCGATCAAGGAGAATTTCGACAAGGCGGCCTCCGCCGGCGATCAAGTATCCCAGATGCTCCATCTTGGCAGGGCTCAGCTCGATCGCAGCTTCAGCCACTTGAAAAGTGAGGTTCATAACTTTGAATTAGCTATATATGCCTGTAGAATCTGCCATTATATTGAAAGCTGATTTTGGTTTTTGCATTGTGAATTTTGATTGTTAGAGACGGTGATTCACTCGAGTAGCGTATTGAGCAACCTGAGCTCAACCTGGACCTCAAAGCCGCCGTTGGAAGTAAAGTACAGGCTTGACACAACCGCACTGGAGCAACCGGGCGGCCCCAAGAGCCTTTGTTCAAGTCTAGACCGCCTCTTGGCATGGGAAAAGAAACTCTATGAGGAAGTCAAGGTCTCTGATGTTTATCCAATTGCTTTTTGTTCATTTCTCGGAGGTTTTGGTTTCACTAATTATAGTGATAAAGTAATTTGCAGGCTAGAGAAGGGTTGAAGATTGAGCACCAGAAGAAGTTGTCAAAACTTCAAAGTCAAGAATACAAGGGGGAGAATGAGACGAAGCTAGACAAGACGAAGGGGTCGATAACGAGGTTACAGTCTCTTATCATTGTTACCTCCCAGGCCGTCAGCACCACATCTACTGCGATTATCCGCCTTCGAGATACTGATCTTGTCCCTCAGCTCGTTGAACTCTGTCACGGGTAAGTTTGCATTGCTTGATTTATCTAATTATATATCGATGATTATCCGATATTGAATGCGCTGTCAGTTGCATTGATTTGTCTGTATCATAATTTACTATTAGAAGTTCGTATATACAATTCCACCTACTTTCACATTTATAAGAGAATCTTGTAAACTCATCAAGTAGGTCAACATTTAATGGAAAATTTGGTAGTTGCAGCAGTTAGTTATCTAATGCCTTGATATATGGATTCCTTGATATGATTTGCTACTTCTTAGAGCGAGACAGATCCTCAACTCTCTTATATACTGTTGGAGTTTTGGGTTTTTATAGCTCATCTTGACCAAGTAACCGCTAATAAGTAAGCTGCTGAATTGGTGATCATATCTTTGCCGAAGTTACAAGCTCAGTGTCATGGTTAGGCTTATTGGTGAATATGTAGCTCAGTGAAAATGAAGATCTTCTAATTTTTGGTATTTTCCGTGTTAATTTTGAGGCTAGAGATAGTATCGCCCCCAATGAGACCGATATGGTGACTTAAATTTAGAGCCTGCATTTTAAAGGTCACCCAATTTCCAAGTTGTAGTGATGCCAAAGAAAGAAAATGAGAGATCAAAAAACCTTTTTTTTTTAACAAATTCATGCTTTGAGCCTAAGACTAGGCTAAAGTAATTGCTTTGAATCCATCAGCAATGCAGTAAAGTTACTTTATTTGAACACCAGAGAACTTTTAAGCTAATCTCTGATATTTCCTTGTGCAGCTTCATGTACATGTGGAAATCAATGCATCAGTTCCACGAGATTCAGAACAACATCGTACAGCAAGTTCAGGGGCTCATCAACAGGTCAGGCAAAGGGGAATCAACATCTGAACTACACAGACAAGCAACCCGCGACTTGGAAACAGCCGTGTCTCTATGGCACTCCAGCTTCTGTCGGCTGATTAAATTCCAACGGGACTTCATACGTTCGGTTCAGGGCTGGTTCAAGCTAACTCTTCTCCCGGTTTGCCACGACGACGACCCCAGCCACAAAGAGCCAGTAGATGCCTACGCATTTTGCGATGAGTGGAAGCTTACTCTAGACCGAGTCCCGGACACAGTGGCTTCAGAAGCAATCAAGAGCTTCATCAACGTTGTTCACGTTATATCCGCGAAGCAATCAGAGGAGCTAAAGATAAAGAAAAGAACCGAATCAGCTTCGAAGGAGCTTGAGAAGAAAGCTTCGTCGCTTAGAAACATCGAAAGGAAATACTACCAGTCGTACTCCACGGTCGGGTTTGGTCTCCCGGATTCAGGACCAGACAACGGACACGTGTTAGACGCGCGGGACCCGCTCACGGAGAAAAAGTTAGAGCTAGGAGCATGCCAGAGAAGAGTGGAGGAAGAGATGCTGAAACATTCAAAGGCGATAGAGGTAACAAGAGCCATGACTTTGAATAACCTGCAGACGGGTTTGCCCGGTGTGTTCCAAGCTTTAACCAGTTTCTCTGCTCTGTTCACAGAGTCTTTACAAACGGTATGCACTCGCTCATACTCCATCAAATAGCACACTTTAATTATATACGTGAAAATACTATATAGTTGAGAAAAATACGAATACTATATAGTTAAAAGATTTTGATGGGTAAAAAAAAGGGCTTTCAGAGCTGGAAATTTCCTATCGTTATGTATTTTTATTTGGGGTTTTGGTTGTTTGATATAGTTTGCTTGGATAATGTTTATTTCTGAAAAGAAAATGTATATATATGGAGTCTTTTTTAAAAAAAACTAGGACTTGGCTTTTGATTTCTGTGATATGACATGTGGGGATTTTTGTTCATGTAATTCTCAGCTACATGTTTCTAATGAAATTCCACGACATGAATAAATAAAAATCTCTTGCTTCTTGGTTAATCGTAATATTATAGGTAAATAATAGTCTCTATCGCCTCGAACTGTCTCTTGTTGGCATGAAACTGGTCGGACTTGTAAATGTCTCCAGTGGGTCCGTTTTCATCGGATTCCCTGAGAAACAGTTACGAGCTGGCAAAGTTATAATTTCTCTTCTTTGTCTGAAGCACGTGGGGGTTTCTTCTTGGTAGACTAGGTTAAACAAACAGAAAAAAAAACAACCGTGGTGTATCTTTTGATCATAGCCGAATCTCATCTTGTAAATTGTAATCTTATTAAGCGAAGATCATGCCGACTCTTTTAAACAAAACACACACATACATATGATAATACATTTTGCAGGCAAGATGCCAAAACCAATTCAGTTCAAAAATATATAACATATTGGATCATTGATTCGTTTTAGATCATAATACTTTTTGCTTTTGGGACCACCAAAACATGGCAGTGAGTCATTACGATCTATTTGGGTAGAAAAGAAAAAAAGATGCCGACAAACCCAACAGTAAGTACCAAGGAGGGAGATTTTCTTAAATAATTCCGACTTGGAGCTTTCCATGTCCTTACAAAAGTTTTGGTTCCATGGAACAAGATTTTAACCTCCCATACAAAAAAAAGAAAGAAATAACCTAAGTTACTATGAGAAAATAAACCCCCACTCCTGATCTATTAAGGCCTTGAGACTCGGTTACACAAATATATAGCGACATAATAAAAAAGACTAAAAATGCTAATTTAGGCGACCAAATACAAACTCTTGAGAGGAAGAAGAACAAGCTTTAGAAAAACTCGAAGTCTAGAAATTTACCACCAGATTTCGCATCTGCTGCTGCTGCTGCTGCTGCTGCTGCTGCTGCTGATACTGGTGGTGGTCCCATCATTCTCTTGCTATTACTACCAAACCCAACCGGATCAATCGGTCCGTACTTTGGAGGCGGTTCGGTCTCCATTTGTCTCGGTACTTCAGGAGGAGTACTACACCTTATCAAGGCCCAATTCACGCCTTCAAAGAACGGATGCTGCTTTATCTCCGTTGCTCCTCTCTTCGTCCCTAACCTGTTCTTCGGATCTTTCACCAGTAATGCCTGAATCAAGTCCCTCCCTGCGTAGCTAGTCGCCGGTGACTCAGGGAACTTCAGCTGTTCTCCGACCACGTTGAACAGAGTGGCTCGGTTCCCTGATCCTTTGAACGGCGTTTTCCCGTACAGGAGCTCGTGCACGAAGATACCAAAAGTCCACCAATCCACTGCGCTTCCGTGTCCTTCTCCTTTGATGATCTCTGGAGCTAAGTACTCGTGTGTTCCAACAAAGGACATGGACCTTGTGTTAGGCTCAGCTACTAGCTCAGGGAGAGAACCCGAGTGTGACTTGAAGAAATCAGTCTGGTTTTTACGTGTCTTGCTCTTCTTGTTTTTGTTAGCGAAGATTCCCCGAGGTAAGAAGCATGAAGGCTGGATGATGCAAGCCGATGTAGGCTCCATACAAGCCGGTTGAACGCAGAAGGCGCCTCGTCTAGATGGATCGGAGTCGAATGTTTTGATCAGCGTTGGAGAAACCGCGCATCTCAGGGAGAGATCAAAGTCGGAAAGCATTATGTGACCGTCATCTCGAACCAGAACATTCTCAGGTTTCAAGTCTCTGTAAACAACGCCGAGCATATGGAGATACTCGAGCGCTAGCAACACCTCTGCGGCGTAAAATCTGCCAAAAGAACAAAACAATGATGTGAAACAACTTATAAAGAAAGTGAGATCACACTGAAACCGCGAGAGAGAAAGAGAGAACATACCGAGCAGCGTACTCAGAGAAATGCTTCCCGGGCTGACGTTGCCTTAAAGTGTGCAGATCACCTCCAGGGCAGTACTCCATGACCAAACACGAGAACCTGTCTGTCTCGAAATGAGTGTACAACGTCGGTAGAAACGGATGATCCAACAGCTGTAGAATCTCCCTCTCGGTCTGAGCTCGATTCAGCTTCTTCCGGTTCTCAAGAGAAGCTTTATCCATCACTTTCACAGCGAAATGACACCGAGTCCCGCTTAGCTCAGCAAGATAGACACTCCCGATATCGCCACAGCCTAAACGTTTCAGCAACTTGAAGTGGCTCATCCCTAAGATCCCATCTCGAGTCCTGATAGCCAAAATAGCATTCCACCTTGGATCATTCCCTTTGTGTGGCTTATTCAGGCTTCCCGTGAAATTGCTCCAGCTGCTCTCTTCGCTCAGGCCGCTACTATCGCTCGCTCTGCTCGCACTCGTCTTGGCGCTTTCAAACGAATCCAACACCATACTGTAGTTCTTGTCCATACTGAGCACAACATCGCTCCGCTGCGTAGAACTCGTTGCGGAAGAGCTATTAGCAATACTCATAGCCCTGGCGAAATTCATGCTCTCGACACTACTGCTGTGTGGGCTCACATTGGTGCTTGGAGGCAGAGAAGCATCCCAAACACATTCCTTGTCTGAATCTTGCGGTAACAGAGAGTTATCTGTGTTCTGCGATGCACGAGCCAGAGAAAACGGAGAGAGCGATGCAGCAGGCTCCTCGACTATGCTCTCTGCGGGTGAGAGTATTCCAGGGCTTGGCTTCTTCGGAGGCACGCAGAGAGAGAGATCATCGAGAAAGGGTCCTTTAGTAACAGACATGCTCTTCATCAAGCAAACCGAATCAGGCTTGTTCTTCTCGCTGATGGGAACATAAACAGTTGTTATGAGATCCATGTCGTCAGGCTCCGGAGGATGACTAACCCCACGGAAGGAGCTAGAACCAGCTTCCTCGGACATATCGTTGCTTCCTTTACAAGTAACATCGTCATCAGCAGCCACGATTTCTTCAATCTCCAGCAAAGGATACTTTGCTTTCATCGATCTAACGGAGGTTACCACAGGCTCAAACTCCTGAAAATCATTCAGGTTACCACCGAAATGACCCATCATCATCTCTTCTCTGTGCACATTCAGAACTTGGCTTAGCTCTCTCCCCAATGTCGTAGTTGGATTCACTGGTCTTCCCGTGTTGTATCGAGCAGCACGTTCCCTCAAAGACTCCATATGCATACCAGAAGAATCTCTATTTTCCAAGTCTAAGTATTGTCTTCTTGACAAGTGAGCAGAGACAGGACCTTTACTAGGAAGTCTCTTGAGCTCAGCAACTCTTTCCATTTCCAGCATTCATGCGATCTTTACTCCCAACACAAAATCTCTCTTTACCTTATAAAACAAAAAAAAAAGCAAATAATGTCAACTAAAAATCAATCTATGACCTTAATCAACATAAGAACTAGAGAGATACAAACAAAATTTCTGCAAAATCAACCAACAATATCTGGGACCATATTCTGAAACCTTGTCGGCGAATTTTATAATCAAGCACACTACAAACAGAACAGAAACTGTAACACGTGATTTGGTGATAAACCTCAGGACTAATTTTCATTTATGGTATCAAGACAAAGAACAGAGCACGAGTGTGTGTGTGTGTGACTCTTAGAGTATTCCATTGTTCGATCTGGAATTTTCCAGAAACCTTCTTGAAAAACGAGAAATGTCTAACTAAGGAGTTTTTGGAAATTTCAAAGGGTGACGAAGAAACATCATAGGGATTAAAAACTGTTCATTTACGAAATCAATCAAAAACCCAAGAAGATCCCAAATAGAAAACGACAAACGAAGGAGGTTTCAAACAGGAAGAATCGTCACCAACCTGAGACAAAAGACGACAATCGCGGAGAATCCGAGATCGGAGCAGTTTTTTTCCGGTACAATGCAGTCGACGCCGGGAGAGATTTATCACCGGGAAATGAGACCGATGAGGAGATTTTTCTAATGTAGAAAATCGATTTTGAAGAAGAGACGAGAGGAAACAAAAAAAAAGAAACCCCTCAGGCTCGAAAATTGAGAGTCGGATTTGGGAGTGGTGAGCTCTAAAAGGCTTTTGCTTTATGTGTGGGCGCTATCTAGCTGCGACTGACGGTAACGGAGAAAAAAAATTAAAAATTAAAAATTAAAAAATAAGAGAGAGTGAGTGAGAGAAAGAGAGAGGTGGGGCCCTTTATACACTGTAGGGTCCAGTCATTAAAGTGGGACCTACGTGTGTTCCTTCTTCAACCTACAATTTGGTTTGAGACGTTTCTTGTTATGGTTTGATCAAAGGTTTTTGTGTGTGATTCCCTTCTTTTTTTCTTATGTGTAAAAATCGATGTCTAGATTAATTATGGGTTTCAACTATTATCACTTGATTAGTTTCAACAATATTTGATTAAGCAACTTTTATACTTGCATGTATTGGTAGTTTGTTCGATGAACAAGGTATAGTGTGAAACAATAGTATAAAGAAAATATATTTTGTGAGAGATGATGGAAACTATTCCTTTTGTTGAGTAATAAAAATATACTAGTAGTATATAGGAAAATGAATAGTGAAAGAAAGAGACAAAAGAATCAAAAACCTTGTGGATTTGTGAAAACACTTTTTTGACCCACCATCGCATATGTTGATTAGCTTTTTTCTTATTTTTCTCCCCATTTCCCATCACTTTTCTTTTTCCCTTTTGTTTTTATTTTTTTTCTCCCTACGCAAAAATTTGTCTTTATTTGAACATTTTGTTCAAAAAAAATTGAATGGTTGTCACTCGAAGAACAAGTAAAATAAGGAAAAATAAATAAAGGGAGTAAGTTGCAAATAGAATTTGTGATCAACAGTTATAGTTATTAACTTTAAAATCATACCAATTATATAATTATGGCATGGAATTTATAAATTTTAGAATTAGTGAGAAAACTAGAGTATAAATTTTTGATCAGACAAAGAAAATCTTCTTAATATTAAATAATATATCTCCAGTTCCATTAGCTTATGTTGAAACTACTCTCTTTGTGCTGGTGGTGGCCATATTAATACTGTGTATTTATAATGGAACAGTTGAGTTTCATGTATGTGAAAGCAATGATTAGTGGACATTGTTTTGGTGAGATAAACAAAGTATTTAAATCATAATATTGTCTTAATTTCAGCAATAAGAATAGTTGATTAAAATAACATTGTTGGACCTCCTCGACGCTCTAATCATGGTGGGCTTAGTGAGTGATGCTTTATTTGTCTGCAAAGTAAATAAAAGCTGCGAGGATAATTTTTTTCAAATTAAGTATATATATATATGTAAAGATTAACACTGCTAATAGTGTATAAAAATCTTCAGTAATTATAATTTGGAAAGGTGTGAGAAATTCTCTTAAGGGAAAAAGGGTGAACAAAAATTATAAGCAACAGAGATAGTTGTCGGCTTAGAGAAAGTAAAAGACGGAATTGACCTTTGAAGTGCGACAGTGAAAGGCTTTTGGGACGAGGTTTGGGTGGAGGGTAAGATCGGTAATACGAATTAAGTTAGATTGCGCGTGGATTGAGGGGATCTATGTCTGGGACAGTTTTATCTTTATCTCTCTAACCAAACGGTCCAAAACACATGCAGTGTCTCGTCCTTTTATTCACTTTTATTTTGTTGTTTTTGTAATCGCTTAAGACAAATTTTAATGTTCTTATAGAATATCATGATAGGATCAATTTTTTGTAGTCGTGTCTCTGACAATGATCGTAATGTAAGAAATTTCCATGAGTTTATTCGAACTGTGATGTACTGATGTTCAATGTAATTAATTATCTATATGAATTTTTCCATGAGTTTATTCGAAATGCGATTTCCTACGTCATTATATAGCTTGTAAAATATTGTTTTCAATAGATAATTGAAGTATTCAGAAAGTGATAGCTAGTTTATCATAAAATTTTGTTTTACAACCAACTAGTAATAGAAAAGTACAGATATTTGTATAACATCATGTTCTCATTTCATATCAAGTTTCACAATCATCTCTCGGTAGTATAACATCATGTTCTCATTTCAACACACTTCATGCAAACTAAAACAAGTTACTAATTTCTATTAAACTAGAGGAATAAAACACAAATAAGTTGTGAATTATTGCAGCGGAGAACTCGGATGAATTCGTTGTGACTTGACTGCTCTATTTTTCGGCAGACATAATCTCGATGTAGACTAGGTTTTCGTTTACTATATAACTCTTCAGTTCATTAACTGTTTTACATTTGCTGTTAGCTTAGATAGGGACAATTAAAGTGTTTATATTGAAATCATAAAATGACAATATTTTATTGTGAGAAATGGAGTAGTATGCATCATCAAATGATGGTTTCTTTACATTCATCAAACTTAGACACATTCTATAGAGTTTGTTGAGCTGATATATATTATGTGAATACTTGTCGATGGTTCTCCGAAACACATGCAGTCATCTAATCTTCAATATAATAACTCATACTTGTATGAACATTAAGTAATTATCTCGATATTCATTTTTTTTTTATTGGCATCTCCATAGCCTCACTATTCTATACATACTTTTGTTTTTTTCAAATCGAAAACTATATACTAAATAACAATCTATTAGGTAATGATGTTTTGTATTTAGTTATGTGGAATTAATTGGGTGTGAATGTGCGGTGCTAACTATGGTATCTTTATAGGTGGGGCTTGAATCTGAGCCCTTCTCTTTTTTGAAAAGCACTTAGAAGAAAATAAAGAAGGGTTTGAAAACTTTGAACACAGAAAATAGACTTATCGAAACTATACAAAGGGAAAAAAGCAACACATTTCTTAAATTTTGGACTCTCTTCTGATTCCATTCTCATCACATTATGCTTTATTCTTTCCTCCTCACTTACATCATTATTTTTTTCATATTCAAAAAAATTAGCTTGATGGGTCCATTGATTCGAGAAAAAAATTGGCATTGTAACTTCGACCGACTCTATATTCATATTTTGTAGATGCAGACATCTTTTCTGAACCACTTATCAAACGTAAACAATCTATTTGATTTTCCCTTGTTCAGTTTACAAATAACTTTCCTATCAAATGAACTAATTTCAGTAGTACTCTATTGATATGGGTTCGAGTCTAATTCTACATTTGAGCATTGATAATTGATATTTTATCGATACACCACAAATATTATAAAACTGGTATTATATTTTATAAACTATGGATCAAGATTAAAGATCCAGTCACTTATGGCTCGCCTATCTGGTTCAGCTAAATTCAACTTCAGACCGGTCCGGGACAACTTAATATTTATTATGGATTTCAATTTGGGCTTTTCTATGGGCATTTAGGGTTTATACGTAACACTATTAAGTCATTGGGCTTGTGCAAACCGAATTCCATTGGCAACAAGGAACAAAAAAACGATCCAAAAGCATCTAAATTAAAATATTTAATCGTGCTTAACAGACAACGTGTTTTAAAATGGCACATTATCTTGGCCCAAGCCCATATATGTAGGCTTATACCATTGATCAAACTACTGATAATATAAATTGCGTAGACGTCCATTATCAACGTTTAGGATGAGGAACGGTCACGTTTTATTCAGTTTGGTGAATTTCGTATGTCTTGTAGCCTGTTTTTTTTTTTTTTTTTTTTTTCACTTTTTAACTTTGTGGCCGGTGACTATAAAAACAAAGAATATCGTATGGATACAAATGACTTAACCTTTATATCATTGAAATGGTTAGGAATGTATAAAATTCTGATAACTGATACGTAATGAATCAACATGATGCCGAAATCAAGGACAGGTACAAGGTGGAAAAATTGGACGGCGCCGAAGCCGCCGGGTAAAAGAGGCGTTGGTGGGTCCAAATGATTTGTGAATAATCCATCACATCAATATATTTTTTGGCACGATTCATTCACGTAAAATCAGTAGTTGAGTAAGTCCATGACTTTCAAGTTTCAAATCTTCAATCATCTATAATCATTATCGATGCAAGAATCCGATCTTTCTTTTTCTCGTTTTGAAAAAAATGTACTCAAACAAGTGTAGATGAGGAGGAGCCCACTTCTTTTAGTCGCCATTTTGCTCAAAACCCCAAATCGATCTAACGGCGGATGTTGATTTTAGTGTTTTGTTTCAATCGTCTTTCCGGCCAAAAAAGAAGGTGAAACTGAAAAAAACGTTATTGGCATGAAAAGAGAGTAAACGAGTGAAAAACATTAAAACGCATAAGAGTAAGATGAAATCAAAAAGCAAGGATCATGATCTAATAGATAATTGCATTCATACTTGTTTTTTTAGATAATCGGTCAAAGTTCACAATCATACTCTAAAAGTAATTAAGCTCTAGCTTACAGTAATTGTATCTTTCAAAGTGAAACAATTATCAAAAATTAAGGATGTCCAAGAAATGTAGTGTCCTAATGTTCGAACATGAAATCATCCGTATCTTGTCTACGTTAGTTTATTATATAGGGTTACAATGTCTATTAAATAACTTCGTACCTGCAGATTATTTGATTTGGTCTGTTCTCTGCAAAATCATAATACATTTTTTTGGTTTGGGAACTCAAGCACAGATGTTCAAGAACGATGATGTATTTGGGTACTTCCAAGTAAATTGCTCTTGAAAACTATGATGAGATATGACAAATCTTACAGATCTTAATAAAACATCAATTTTTTAATGCTTTCCCTCTTAGGGAGCTACAACTATTACTTGCCTTTCCTCTTACCGCCTCCTTTCTTTCCCTTCTTCTTCCCTTTCTTCTTTCCTTTCTTCTTCATCTCTCCTCCTCCTTCTCCTCGCTCACTTCCTCCTCCTCCTCCTCTGTTCCTCCTCTTACCATAGCTGCTCATTTCGCTATCTCTGTCATTACTTCTTAAAGAACCAGAATGTAGTAAATGCTTAACATCAAGAACACCATTCCTGAAGTTCCCTACAGTTGATTTCAGAACTGTCTCCTCTGGCCTACGCTTCCTCTCTACGGGTTTCTTCGCACTTCCACCACCAAGTTGTCCTCCAAATCTGCCAAGAATCCTATTCTGCATAACGCCCAATAACAATGTGAGTGAGAGAAAGACTTAGTTTCCCAAAAAGGGTCAGAGGAACACGAGAAGATTGATTATCTAAAAAGCTTCACCTGTTCCACCATCATCTCTTCTCTTTCTTTCTGCTTCTTCATCTGTACTCGCGCTACACTCAGCGGCAGCCTCTGTTTCTTCTGCGGCTGCAATAACAAACCACAAAAGGATATCTCAACCACTGATTCAGATCAAACAAATCATGATTTGACTCCAAGAAAAAAGAGGTTTTGATTAACAAATCTTACCTTTCCACCAAGTTCAATCACTTTCTTGTTCTCCAATGCTTTCCTATCCTTCCATGTCATATGTGAGCTCCTATTAACTTTAATAACATCAACATCAGATATGCAGAACATAAACTCGCATTGCATCATCATGGGGAGAGTGTATATCTCTTGGACATAAACTTATACAATTCCATAATTTCACAAACGCAAAAATTGGCAAAAGGCTATACAAAGTAGCTTCTCTTATCAATCATCATAGCTTGTGTATCTACATCTACTTCAGGATTCAACAGAGAAAATTAAACGCGTTAAGAGAGAGAGAGAGAGAGAGAGAGAGAGAGAGAGAGAGAGAGAGAGAAAAGTATTGTCACCAAAGAGCTCAACTTCATTCATAATCTTCGTAAAGCTCATGTCAGGAACATTCGCCTCCATGCCTCCCTTTTTCTTCTCCTTTGGATTGCGATTATACATTTTGGGTTTTTCAGCTATCTGAAACAGAGAAAAAAGGCACTACTGAGCTATGCGATTCCATAACTTGAATCTGTTCAACATCACAGTCAAATTCCGATTCCTAATCTAAGACTGCGATTCGATCCCGGGTGTGGGCAATTAGGGATATCAGTCTCGTTACCTGATTCCTCCGAAGAAGACGTACTTTAGAGGTGGAGCACAAATCGCAGGAAATTGATAAAAAGCTTGCTTGTGAGTGATATGAGAGAGAGAAAGGAAGACGCGACGCAGAGCGATAATGAACAACGAAAAAAGCAGAAAGGGTTTAGGGTTTCGATGGCGGATTTAGACGGGAAGAAGGGTTTCAATGGCGGATGTAATTAATTGTCAGGAAACCAAATTGGGCTTTATATGGGCTCTCAATAATGTATGAGATTTTCAAAGCCCTTTTCTAGTAAAACATCCAATTAAGTTTTTTTTTTTCTTCTCCCTCATTAATTTCATTTACTGTATTTTTTAGGCATGTAAAATGTAAACGGAGACAAAATCTCTCATGATGCAAAAGGAAATGTGCCTTTTATCTTATAGAATGCGAGATTTTTCAAATAAGTTTTCACTTTATATGTGTGTGTGATAGAGAAAGCAATGTGATCTTTTAGAATGCGAGATTTTTCAAATAAACTACTTCCATTTAATTATATGAATAAATTCAGCGTTTGGGGTTTTCGACCTTCTGGTGATGGTGAGAATGTGAGATCATACCTCTCTATAAAAACAAAAAGGTTGCAAGCGTTTTGTGTTATCCCATTCGCTACATTTTGAACGATCAAAACCAAAATATTTTTTATATAGATATAATTCAAACAGTGATACAAAACGATCGTCTTAAGTGATTCATTTGTCAACGTTTCCACCTAATGCTAAATTATTAGGGAGAAATCCTTAATTTGCTTCAAATTTTATATAGACATCATATGGCTATATAATAATAGTGAGAACTATAGCTGATAATCACATGACTGCGAAATTAGAACAAAATTTGGCCCCGAGTGATGGCACTTCATCTTGATAGTATGTAATAAATTATTGTAAGGTGATTTATCTGTGAAATAGTAGATATGCCAATTTATTCCCACATAAAAGTGTTTATGTATATTGTGTTATTTTTTATGGGGATGATAACAGTTTATATTTTCTTTATTTCTTTTCATAAGAGGTTTTTTTTTCTTAAATTATACTGTCTGCTTTGTTAATTCATGTTATCTCACGATTTGATTCTCTTGATTTAAATCCATTAATTTAAACACGACAATAGACTCACTGATTCAAATAGATTAGTTTAAACACACAGACAACAACAAACTAATGACAAAATAAAACAAAGAAACAGCGACCAATCTAATTAGAAAGAATGAACATATGAATCCCCAGAGAAGAATCTCTCCCTCAAGGGGTCCTTCTCCAAGGGGTCAGGAAGGTTAGCTCGGTTCGCCAGAAGAGATTGAGAACGAGGGAGGCTCACTAGAGACGGAGGGACGGCAAACTAATGAAGTCTTGCATCTGATACAGATCTTCTAGCATAAGATCCCAAACTCTCAGCTTCAGATCTACTTCTCTTTGATCCAGAAGTTTTCTTGGATTCGGAGGTAGAAGGGCGTAGGGTGAAGGAGATGGAGTATTCCTCCCCAGCTTCCCCAGGATCATCGGAGTGGACAAAACTAGGAGTGACAGTTGTGGCTAAAAGCTTGGAATAAATTCAAAGAAAAAGTAAAATTTGATTTCGACATGATGATACAACAAAATGCCTCTATAGATCTCACGAAAAAAACAAAAAAGCTGTTCTTTTGAAATCATCATAGGAGGATGTATTCAAAGAAAGAAAAAAAATGTCATTAAATTTTCAATTCATTCATCCTCAATCTCCAAAATATGCAATCTTTATTCAAATATTTTCTTATTTTTTTAATTGAAATTAGTTTCTTATTTTCATATGTCATTAATTTTAGAATTACAGTACAAACTGGTATTGATTGGAGTTTCTTTTGTGAACAATTGTCTTTTATATCATTTTATTGATTATATGTTTTCAGGTGATGAGCGAAATGACAAATTAAAAGCCAAAAAATTGAAATCCAGAATGTGTCATCAACTCGTTTGTAATGACCATAAATAGATAATGACGATAAGACCCTTTGTGAAGTGGGAAACAAATGAGTTGATGCGAGAAACATTTTGTGAAAACTTTATAATGATACGCGATAAAATCACAAAACAGTTCCTCTTCAGATGCAGAGAGAGGTCAATGCAAAGAGAATTAGAAAATATTTAAATAATAATCATTCTCAACTAAAAATAATATTATTTTCAGTTTGTTAAACATCAAAGAGAAGTTTCATGTTCTTTTTCTCTATTTTAAGACTTTATTTATGAAGTCTCTCATTCTTGTCATAATCAGAACGCAAGTAGCATGATATAAAAATATGGATAAACATCAAATACTCTAAAGAGCAAAGTTGCTATATAAAAATTAAAATTTGAGGAAAAGTATATAGATTTTGAATATATATGCATATTTTGAAACTCCCTAAAAGGGCTTAGAAACTCCATATACGCGTCTATATATATCGTTACAAGTTAGATGAGATATAAACCTGGTTACCACTCTTGTCTTTACTTGTCAATTTCTCGACTCCACGAAAAGGGAAAACACCAGTGAACGGATGGTCTTATGATGACAATGATGGTTCATTGGTTCCATTGCATAAAAAAATGATGAGGATAAATGCTATATAGATCCTAAGAAAGAGAGGGGACGTGGTCACGTACCGATTCCATTTCAAGCAAAAGCAAAAGCACTCGGCTCAAACCCATTAATCCATTATCCACACATTGCAAGCCAACACCAACGAGATCCCGACCACCACGTAGCTCATTAGTCCCCTAGATGCACCACGTGATGAGCAGGTGTAGAACAGATGAAATACCTTGTTCCTACAGTCTTGAGTTCAATTTTTGGTGTCTCCGTCGGAGTGGTTCTCTGTCGCTGATGAACCGTCGCAGCCATCATATCCGGCCTTGTCAACCACAATCACCGAGTGTGTAGGACTGTACTTGAACTCTGCTTCAAACCGTCCTCAATTCAAAGTTTGCATTAGCCAAGCTAAAAAGTATTAGCTTTTTGCTTGTGCAATAAGTTATCTAAAAATATTGACCTGGCTACATGTAATATATAAGATTTCATGTCAATGTTGCCCCTAGTCTTTGGACAGGATTTTCAGTCAACAGACTGAAGCAAGGACAAAAGCAGGTAATGCTTACCACAATCAAGAGGCGTTTCTGAGATTTTAATTGCATAAGGTGTGTGTGATCTTACGTGTTGATCAGGTCATATATATGCTTCATAAGACATCTCCTCTGGCACATTAGGCCATGGTATATCTCTGTTGTTATATTTTCTGCAAAACCATAGATTTGTTAAGCGACAAGAATGATGTCTTGATACCTGATGAGATCGAGTTTAGCTTGGAAATATACCTGTGGGGTTTTACCTAAAATCAATCGGAAATAAATAGATTATCTTTAAATCATTTCTATATTTTTGTGATGATATCTTGACACGTTTCGTCGAAATGATTGTTATTTTCATTACATCTCAAACCAAATTTCACTTCAACTCAAAATTATTTGATAGCTGGTAATTCAGTTAAATACTACTTATAGATTACATAGATCATCTCTAGAATTCTGATACGAAATCTTAACATATATGTTAGTTTCCTGAAAACAGTCTCCACTGTATCAACATTGACATGCAACGTGTACTTTTTATAACTTAAGTTATTTAAATGATAGCTTGCCCTTTGTCTTAATAGATGATTAGTAGACCAAAAAAGAGCACGAGGGGACTTGAAATGAAGGTGAGAATTGGGTGAGAGAGATTAAGACGTGCGTTTTGATTATTTGACTAATTCTTTACTCTTTTGTTGTGGTTGTTGGGCAGCCGCAATTTTGCGTAATGTTGAGATGTAGGAGGCAGAAAGGCACGCACACCCACAGACTCCCTCTTCCCTTCCTTTTTTTGTTGAATTACTAATTAGTTTTGTCAAATAATGTATGTATATTTCCATAAGTAGGTCATATATATACGCCATCACTCGTGTATATTTTGTACTTTTTTGTCAATGTATATATTACTTTTGTACCGTTGTGTAGCTCAATTAATTTGAAAAAAAAATTAGAGAGGCTTATGATTAAGAAAAACTAAACTATTTCATCAAGTAATAGGTAAAGTATAATAATTTTAGTTTGAATTTTTTTTTATAAAGTGTTATTCGACATTCGTCTAATGGGTGTATATATAGTCTCTAATACTAATTAATAAGTTATATAGTAGTGACTCTAGATAACGAAAAGGCAGAACAATTTGTATAAATGCTGATTTTAATTAGATTGCTGTATATTGTGTGTATACACATACACATATATAGAATTTTACTAATATATACATCGTTAATTCGTCATCGTGGTTCGGTGTACTGTTGTGGCCCGTATATCACTTTCCACAATTATACATATCTACTGAATGTATCTTCAAAGCATTTAGGTATGGGTCGGTTATGCGATATATCCTCTTTTTGTACATATATTTGAGATACGACATGCCTATATGTGTACGTATACGGCTTGGATCATCCGATCATGCATGTCATGTATTCTCCCTCTTGTCACCATAAAACTAGGGACGTTGACCATTCTCATGCATGCAGTTCTCAGTTAGATGATTTGGTCATGACCAGAGGATTTTATTGAGTACTTATAGTTAATACTAATACCGGTATTAGTATTAGTTATGTGTAATTTGTAGTGACATAGAATCGATTGCTGGTTATTACCATCAAGCGATAATCCCTATAATAGTGTTATTTAGTTATATGAATCTAAGAAAATAGTTCTCCCTCGATCTATATATATCGAACTGAACTGAAACGTTTGCACGAGTTAACAATTCATTTTGATTATATTGAAACAATCATCATAGA